CTTTTCCATGAGTAAGATTATATTTGAACGTCCCCTTTAGGAGTTTTCTGGATGAATCGATCCATGTCTAGATCTACCTTCCTGGCCTAAGAATAAGATTTAAAGTCTTTCACAAATTTTTATACTAGATCTATCTACCTGGTGCTACGGAACCAAGCAAGCTAAGTAATCAGATGATTGTGTAGGATTGAGTTTACTCTAGATATCTAGATCTAGAGTCTAGATTTAGCTAGATCTAGATCTAGAGTCTAGATTTAGCTAGATCTAGATCTAGAAGAAGTATAAGATGATTCAGTCCAAACAGGACAATTGGGGAGGTCAGATCGGGACAGGTTGATTTGCTCGACAGACTGATAGCGCAAAGTGGCTATCGTGGCACAAATCGATCGCGCCCGACTCGTTGCCTCAAAAACAACCGCGTTGTTTTCAGTTTTCAGGCAACGAGTCGGGCGATCATCCGCAACGGGCACTGGGCACCCCGTAGTGCAAAGGAAGTGGTGGATCTAATTTCATGTACGAATTGCCCCCCTTCGCGTCCTTATTTTTAGTTGTGTGAGAAAATTTCGGTTATTTTTACCGAAATTAAATGATTATTTTTCCAACTTTTGCAGAAAATTGCCTAAAATTCACGAATTCACGAAAACGGCAAAGGTTGCGCAAAAGTTGCGCTGAGGCCAAAAGTTGCGTGCGCAACTTGTGGGTTGCGCGCGCGAATTTCTCTGAGGACAGATTTCTTACCCTTTTCGTAATGGTGCATTCCTTTTTTTGTCTCCTCTCTCTCTCTCTCTCGCTCTCTCTCTCGCTCTCTTTCTCTCTCTCTCTCGCTCTCTCTTTCTCTCTCTCTCTCTCTCTCTCTCTTTCTCCCTCTCTTCCTCCTTTCCTCCCTCTCTCTCTCTCTTTCTCTCTCCAGAGCTGAGTGTATAAAAACAACGGCTACAACAACATCAATCTGGTTCGATAAGTCTCTCCAGAGCTAAGACTGGCATCTGTGGTGTAGCAGTTAGGCACTTCGCCCTGGCATGCAAAAGGCCTAAGTTCAAATCCCGTTTAGGGAGAATTTTTGTGGAGTATTTCCATCTTTATACAGTGAAGGTGTATCCCTCTCAGCCTGGATTAGCCCAAAAATACAGGAATGAAGCCGCTCACCTCCTAAATGATCAACATAGTGTTGGGATCCATACATGTTAATGTCATACAAGTGTGTTGCTTCACTTTCACAAAATAAAAAGGTTTTTGGGGATATGGTTGCTAGATAAGGGTTTCTAAAAAATCTACCCTCTCTGTCTCTTTGATACTTTGCATGCTCATTTGTGAATGTTTTGTGTTGCTGCTTTGCATGCTCATTTGTGAATGTTTTGTGCTGCTGATTACAAAGGACTTTGTAGAAACAAAAATTGTGACTTTGAAGGATTCTAAATTCTTCATAACATTGAGCAACAGTGTAAGGCGGGAAGATAAAGAAGAAAGAAACGAAGGAGAAGAAGAAGAAGAAGAAAAGTTAAAAGAAGAATGAGAAAAAGAAGTGTAGGTAAAGAAGAAGAATAACAATAATAAAAGGAACAAATGCTAGAGGAGAAAAGAAAATGTTCTTAAAAAGTAAATAAATAAATGACAGTAATATGAGCTTTTTTTCTTGTGTTTTTTTGTTTCCCTCAGATCAAGACCAGAGAGGGACAAGTGGAGAGAGCAACTGACAAGTACTCGGTCATTGGCAAAAACCTCTTCAAAAAGGAAACCAACTTGGCCGCCTTTGCCAACCTGAAGATATCTCTGTCCAGCGGAGAGAGGGGCACCATTGAGGGAGGCTTTGGGCAGAGTGGGAAGGTGAAAATCCGCATCCCAGGTATGTCGTTTTGCAGTTTGCTTTCATCTTTTTTTCTTCCTTTCTGAGCCTCTTTTTAAAGAAATCTTTTTATCGGAACCGCTGTGCCAGTGAGCTGCTTGCAGCGGCTCGGGCAAATTCCTTTATGATAACTTCAACATCTTGCTGAAAACAAGTGTCTTTTATCGGGATTTCATTCATTAGATGAAGAACTATCAAAATAGGTTCACTTGCTTTGATTTAATGATCAATTTAGTGATGCTTTGTTTACCCCTTTTGGAGATAAAGAGTTAAATCCCAAATTGTTTTCTTCCCAATGTCACGTGGACATAATGCTTGTGCAGATATGACTAGACTATCTATACTGAGGTCCATAACCATAAGCCAGGAAAAATTGCTAGAAACAGAAGTGAAGGAGGATTTGAGAAATGAAATAAAAAATGAATTGGATCTGACTTCCTGAGCCTCTAATTTTGTCCTGTATTGCTATCCGTATGGATATAGGCCCGTAAAAGTAGGCCAATAGTGCGGCCCCTATTTTTGAACTGCTTGGCCGATTGCACAATGTTAGGAGAAGAAAGTAATGAGGCTGTGATGGTGGTGATGATGCTCGAAGGTTTTGGGGGCAGGGGGAGGAGGGGGGTGTTTTACTCAGGGATGCCACTTTCCGCTTTTTTCCGGTATTTCCGGTATTTTGATCCTGATCCGCTATTCAGTTATTGAGATCAATATGGAATCTATAGTTGAAAAAAAAAAAGGAAAAGAAGCCCCCCCCACACACACAACAACTTGCGCCAAATGTTCAAATAATGGAAAAACAAAGACTTCGCCATAATTTCTAATAACGGGAGAAAAACCCCCCCGGAAGATTTGCGCTAATCTCAGCAAGTCATTTCTCTCCATGTACACCTTCTGGGTTTCAAATTGATATTCATATGTTAGCGAGACCGTGGCGCGTGGATTTTCAGCTATTTTCAAAAAAGTTAAGTGGCATCCCTGTGTACTTTACTTTCACTAAAACTCCTGTAAAGTCAGCATTGCAGGATGAAGGGTCCTTTACTTTTTCCCTGCACTGAATGATCGCTATTATGTCAATGTGTTACTTACTAAAAACAAACAAACTGTGCAATTTTTATGTCAGTTTCTTTGATCTGTCTTGATGACAATTAACAAAAAAAACCAACGTGCAAACAAAACAAACGCTCTTGGTGATCGTGTGTGGGTTTTTTTTCCCCCCAGAGGGTCTGAGTGAAGAGACGTATCAACGCTACTCAGGCACCAGCAAGAAGAAAGGCAAGGGGAAGGAAGAGCCCGAGGGCACAGCGGAGGGGGCAGGCAACCCCACCGTACAAAGCGAGCCTGTGAAAATATTCCTGAACTTCAAGCGGTTTCTGTATGACCCCCAGAAGGCGATGGTTCAGACGTGAAGGTGCTGGCTGGCTGGCTGACGGCTGTGTTTTCGTAGTGTGTTTGCAGTTGGTTGTTGTTGTTGTTGGGGGAAGGGTGTGTGCAAGAGTGTGTGTAGGGGGGGTGGGTGGGAGACCAGAGGAAGCAATATCAGTTTTGATGCCTCGGACTTTCCGTATGTTTGTTGTGTGAATATTGGTATGTTGTTGTTTTTTTCGGGGGGGGGGGGTTGTTGTTGTTGTTATTGGGGAGGATAAGTAAGTGGAAAAGAGAGTAAGTAGTTTGGGTGGGGGGAGGGGGGGGCATGGAGAGAGACAGCAATGATTCAGTCATGATGGTGCTGAGTGAGTGGTGGCTGTTTCTTGTATTGTAACAGTTGGTGGTAGTCTTCTTTTGCTGTGCCGGTGTGTGTGTGCGCGCATTTGTGTGTTTGTATGCTTGTGATCTGGTGGGGAAATTCTGCACCATCATTTTGTGTATGCGGATGGTTAAAGGATGCCTCTGGTGGCTCATCCTACTTCTGGCCTCTGGTCTTTCCTTTTGCTGTTTCTGTGTTTTCTCTTGTTATTACTGTGATCTCGTATGGCCAAATAATCATTTGTGTATGCTCGTGTGTTTGGCAGGTATTCTGGTGTGGTTTGCTTCTTCTGTCCTATCAAACATCTGTCGTCTTTATCTACACTCCTTCTTTTTTTTTTTTTTTGTTACTTTCTTGTAACACCTCTTATCTTCGGAACTTATATGACCTTATTGTGTTGCAAGTGCCGTAAAACTTACGAAAACTAAAGAATTTGTGTATGCTTGTGTGTTTGTGTGGGAGGAGGATGCTGGTTTATGTGGGAGAGTGTTCACCATTTTGCTTTCCCAAGTTGTAAATCGATAGTGTCGGACACGAAATAGCCAGTTCGAAAATTTTCCAACACCCAATTTTTTTCTATTATGCTGTGAAGCGTGGTCAATTACAATATAACATGGATAGCCCAAATTAGTCAGAACTGGCCTCGGTAGTTTCGAGGGGTTTGTAGTTCGAGGGGTATCTTACAAAGATAAAGAAGAAAAAAAAAAAACAGGAGCTGCAGGCACAGGTTGATGGATGCGTGATTTCGAGTCTTCTGTGTTTGATCTACCCGTGTTATACTGTATATATAGTCTTTGTAAATGGTGTAAAAGGTCAATCAATAACAGTGTTTGAAACAACGTCAGGAAGTCTGAGTTGTAGTGGTCTTTGAAAGATTATTGATACAGTTTTTTGCCTGTCCGGAAAAAAAAGCTTCCTGGGAGTAGCCCATCTGTGCCCAGCGTCATCGATACTGGGCCTCAATATGTGAGAAGGAATAACATGTGACAGAGGTTTTCGTATAATTTTGGCGAATGTGGGTAAAGGGATGTTATGTTTGCAATGTTTGTGTGTGAGCACTCGTTTTTAATGTAAGTGTAAGCACATGGTTTTTGTGCTCTTAATGGAAAAAGCAGATCAAGTCTTATTTTTACTAAAAAACCAGGGTCAATTTTGCAGGTTGACCCCAATTAAAATCATGAGTCAGCAATGGCTATAAATAGTTTTTAAAAGGTACTGTGAGATAAACTTATGTGTATTTTCTCATCATTTAAATTTAACTGGATGGTTAGCGGGTGCTCTGGTGTGGTTTGCTCCTTCTTTCCTATCAAACATCTGTCGTCTTTATCTACACTCCTTCTTTTTTTTTTTTTTTGTTACTCTCTTGTAACACCTCTTATCTTCGGAACTTATATGACCTTATTGTGTTGCAAGTGCCGTAAAACTCTTACTAAAAACAAACAAACTGTGCAATTTTTATGTCAGTTTCTTTGATCTGTCTTGATGACAATTAACAAAAAAAACCAACGTGCAAACAAAACAAACGCTCTTGGTGATCGTGTGTGGGTTTTTTTTCCCCCCAGAGGGTCTGAGTGAAGAGACGTATCAACGCTACTCAGGCACCAGCAAGAAGAAAGGCAAGGGGAAGGAAGAGCCCGAGGGCACAGCGGAGGGGGCAGGCAACCCCACCGTACAAAGCGAGCCCGTGAAAATATTCCTGAACTTCAAGCGGTTTCTGTATGACCCCCAGAAGGCGATGGTTCAGACGTGAAGGTGCTGGCTGGCTGGCTGACGGCTGTGTTTTCGTAGTGTGTTTGCAGTTGGTTGTTGTTGTTGTTGGGGGAAGGGTGTGTGCAAGAGTGTGTGTAGGGGGGGTGGGTGGGAGACCAGAGGAAGCAATATCAGTTTTGATGCCTCGGACTTTCCGTATGTTTGTTGTGTGAATATTGGTATGTTGTTGTTTTTTTCGGGGGGGGGGGTAAGTGGAAAAGAGAGTAAGTAGTTTGGGTGGGGGGAGGGGGGGGCATGGAGAGAGACAGCAATGATTCAGTCATGATGGTGCTGAGTGAGTGGTGGCTGTGTCTTGTATTGTAACAGTTGGTGGTAGTCTTCTTTTGCTGTGCCGGTGTGTGTGTGCGCGCATTTGTGTGTTTGTATGCTTGTGATCTGGTGGGGAAATTCTGCACCATCATTTTGTGTATGCGGATGGTTAAAGGATGCCTCTGGTGGCTCATCCTACTTCTGGCCTCTGGTCTTTCCTTTTGCTGTTTCTGTGTTTTCTCTTGTTATTACTGTGATCTCGTATGGCCAAATAATCATTTGTGTATGCTCGTGTGTTTGGCAGATATTCTGGTGTGGTTTGCTTCTTCTTTCCTATCAAACATCTGTCGTCTTTATCTACACTCCTTTTTTTTTTTTTTGTTACTCTCTTGTAACACCTCTTATCTTCGGAACTTATATGACCTTATTGTGTTGCAAGTGCCGTAAAACTTACGAAAACTAAAGAATTTGTGTATGCTTGTGTGTTTGTGTGGGAGGAGGATGCTGGTTTATGTGGGAGAGTGCTCACCCTTTTGCTTTCCCAAGTTGTAAATCGATAGTGTCGGACACGAAATAGCGAGTTCGAAAATTTTCCAACACCCGATTTTTTTCTATTATGCTGTGAAGCGTGGTCAATTACAATATAACATGGATAGCCCAAATTCGTCAGAACTGGCCTCGGTAGTTTCGAGGGGTTTGTAGTTCGAGGGGTATCTTACAAAGATAAAGAAGAAAAAAAAAAAACAGGAGCTGCAGGCACAGGTTGATGGATGCGTGATTTCGAGTCTTCTGTGTTTGATCTACCCGTGTTATACTGTATATATAGTCTTTGTAAATGGTGTAAAAGGTCAATCAATAACAGTGTTTGAAACAACATCAGGAAGTCTGAGTTGTAGTGGTCTTTGAAAGATTATTGATACAGTTTTTTGCCTGTCCGGAAAAAAAAGCTTCCTGGGAGTAGCCCATCTGTGCCCAGCGTCATCGATACTGGGCCTCAATATGTGAGAAGGAATAACATGTGACAGAGGTTTTCGTATAATTTTGGCGAATGTGGGTAAAGGGATGTTATGTTTGCAATGTTTGTGTGTGAGCACTCGTTTTTAATGTAAGTGTAAGCACATGGTTTTTGTGCTCTAAGTGGAAAAAGCAGATCAAGTCTTATTTTTACTCAAAAACCAGGGTCAATTTGCAGGTTGACCCCAATTAAAACCATGAGTCAGCAATGGCTATAAATAGCTTTTAAAAGGTACTGTGAGATAAACTTATGTGTATTTTCTCATCATTTAAATTTAACTGGATGGTTAGCGGGTGCTCTGGTGTGGTTTGCTCCTTCTTACCTAACAAACATTTATATAACCTAACTGTGTAGCAATTGGACTAAGAAAGTGGCAATGGATAGGATACACCATATTAAGAAAGCCCAGCGGAAATTCACAAGACAGTCACTGCAGTGGAACCCACAGGGAGCACGAGGCAGGGGTAGGCCACGGGAAACATGGAGGAGATGCGTAGAAAGGGACATGAGAGAGATGAAACTCACTTGGAACGAGCTTGGAAGGATGGCCTAGGACAGAGATAAATGGAAGGAGCTTTACGTGGCCTACACCCTGCAGGGGTGAAAGGCATTGATGATTATGAATTGTGTTGCAGCGGGTAGTTGGAGGGCATCACTGGTGGTAGGTCTTACTTACTTCTTCACTTCCCTCTGTTATTTTTGTCTGTGTGTCTTACTTTTCCCCAGCACTAAATGACAGTTATTGTGTCGATGTGCTTCTCTTTACACAAACATAATTGTGTTGCAAGTGCCGTAAAAATGTTACTAAACTAAACCTAAGCATCTTTTAACTCTTTCCATGCCAGAGGGATGCCCATGTTTATGTCAGACTAATGTATGTTGTAAATGTGACAGGTTGAAAGTAGTGTTGAGAAATGTGATCACATTCATGAGAGTGGATGATCTGTTAGATAGTTGATCAGCTTCACTCGATCTTGATTTTGTTATGTAAATTTGTTATAAAGTGCATAAAGCATCCTGTTGATCATGGATGTGCATATATAATAAAGAACGAACCACGATCATAAGCGGTGGGGTGGGATCTTAGGTGGAGACTACTATCTTCCTCAGAATTACAAAGTTGTATCTGCTCAGTAGGCCTACTGAGTTTTGAGAAATTTGGCGTCAAACTTTTTGTTTGACAATGTGTCGAGCTTTTTCGAATGCAATTCTTTCACTTTCAGTGTCTGGATAACGACTCTGATTAATCTTACAATTTTGATAGAGCAGATAGAACATTGATTGCTGTCTGACCTCTTGGTCTTAGTAACTCGAAACGGCCCAAAATGTCCTGTACAACTTTGTAATTCTGAGGCAGCATACTTACTGTAGTTACAGGGTTTGAGTAGAAAACCATGGATAGGCTGACACTGAGTGCAGAGTTTTTGTGACAGTTAAAATTGTTGATATATAATTCTATTCTCAGGAACATTTTGTTCACTTTTGATGACTATTTATGAATCACAAATGATGTAGTTGTGAGTGGTGCTTGATTTTAGTTTTGTTATATTATATTGTCATGAAATGTATGTACTTGCATTAAACTTAACCTATGCCAGGAGATAATGTAATCAGTAACCTCTGAGTGAAAATACAAGAGGAAAATTATTTTCTCAGCATGTTTTGTTTTGTTTGTTTTTTTCTTGGCTTTTTGTCTCATTACTCTCATTTAAGAGAAAAATTGAGTGAGTTACTCTCATGTTTTATATCTTGAACAGTTTCTTTGCAGAAAAAACATATGCATGGCGTCGGTGGCATAGTGATTGTGGGTTTGGGGGTTTGAGTGTCAGCTCAGTCCGATGTTGTGTCCTTGGAAAAGGCACTTTACACGAATTTCCTTTTGGGCTCGATCCTTTAAGAGATGGACATTTAGTTCGGAGGTCCCGCCTCTTAAATAACCTAAGAGTGTTGATAGGGACGTCAAAAGCTATATATACCATAGAAATAGATAGAAAACATGGTCCTCAACGTGACGAAATGAGCCACTTGTCACACACTTAGCTGTTTCGAAACATCAGGAGGGAAACCTCGATTTTTCTCGCAGCTATGTGTTTTTGACGCCTCAACTTTAAGTGACTATAATAACTTCGGAACCAAAGAAGCTACATTGATGCTGTTTTACTTTCACCTACTTATAGTAGGGCTTGAACAGATTTTTCAGTTTAATCCGCATAGTGTTTTATAGTGCCAAAATGCGACGTGTCACTTATTTCGTCATGTTGATACACATATACCTGTATGTATATTTGTGCCTTATTTTTCCTTGGCACCTTATTAGAAGCCTTGAAGTAAAGATACTATAAAGATGTCTATGGGGGCTCTCGTGGTGTAGAGGTTAAGGTGTTAGCCTCTCATTCAGAGGTCCTGGGTTCGAGTCTGCGTAGCGACCGAAAAATTTTCTTCTCTAAAATTGTCTGCTTTCACCTCCTTTCCTGCTCTCTAGCAATGTTCTGTCGTCTGCTTTTGTCTCCACTTTCTGCCCCCACCTCCTCATCTCCTTTGCTCTCTCCTTTGGGCTTCTGACTCTTTCTGCAGCCTTTCTACTGCTACTCCTTCGCTCCTTCTCACTGCGGTCTTTCTGCCACACCCCAGATGTTCTGGTAGGAAAGATCTACACCTAGCCTTTTCGGTCAAGAGGGAAAAATCTCGGAGGTCCCAAGTTTCACGCGCTAAAGATCCCTTGGTGCTTTAAGATCAATATGAGTAGACTTCGGCCGTCACGCGGGTAAAATTCAAAATTTCCTACCAACTGAAAATGTTTAATGTGTCCGCGTGCTCATATGACCTTATACAGTTGCGAGCACCGTAAAACACTTACAGTAAATGTATTAGAAAAAAAAAGAAAAAGAAAAAGATGTCTATCTTGCTAGTGGGTGGAGGGTGCCACTGGTACGTATTTACTGTTGTTCTTTCCCTCTGATGTTTCTGTCTGTAAGTCTCATTTTTTTCTCCGTACTAAATGACCGTTAGAGTGTTGATGTACTTTTCTTTA